GGCTGCAGTTATACCCTTCTAGGGGGTGGAGATGGGTGGGTTTATGGATCAGGGGGTGGAGACGGGTAGGTTTAGGTATGTAAGGTGGTATATGTATTTGCGATCGCGAATTCAGATCTCGTTCAGCAGTTATTGTGCTTCAGCGGTCAAATACACACACAATCATGCTAATGTATTATTAGCTAATATTTGCTAATATTTTTACATTTTGATTATTTATTCAATTTCTGTATCATCTCTTTCTTGAATGTTAAATAGACCTACTGTACCTAAACACCTTTTATTTCCTTTGTTTTATTTTATTTGTCCTTTTGTTTGTTACTTGCATCTATGTTCTTATTATTAATAACAAAAATGACTATATCATTATGATATAAATTGTTATTGTGAAATAAAATTCCTCCTAGCATTGAATCATATTTTGGTCATATTTCCCACCCCTAGCTCATGCCCTAAGTAAACTTACCAATGTTGCAAAGATCTATACACACCTGTAGGCTCGGCTGTATCATAGTCATGATAGACTGGTTACTCACCATAGGCCTGTGTGGTGGCACTGGCATGTGATTTTTTATTTTTATGGGGGAGGAAATGCTCAAAAAGCAGAGCAGGAATACTGGTCAAGTGAGAGATTAAAAAAAAATATATATTTTATTAATTTTTATCATGGTACCGGTTCAGTAGTAGTATCGAGATATTTTAGTCAGGTATCGTATCAAAGTCAAAATGTCGGTATCGTGACAACATTAATATATATATATATATATATATATCACTGGTGTGCGGTGGTGTTCTGAAATGAGGAGGCAAAGTCCTTTAAAAAAACACAAAAAACTAAATCAAATGTAAATTCCTGTCCCAGTCACATGTTCTTGGTTAAATAAACATTACTTACGCTACCAGAAAACAACAACAACAACAACAAAAAACTATTCCATTTTATATTTTTACATTAGCAATGTAATTAATATTCTGTTTATTAAAGCCAAGTATGAATCTCATCAAGTTAGTGTTTTAAAGCATTTTACATTTATTCCAAAATAATAACTGAAGGCAGTAACAATTTAAACAATATTTAAGTGATTGTATATCTAAGTGTGTGAGTTGTTTACTTACTTTTTTTAAAATGAGTCTTCCCATTAACGCCATTTTATTGTTCATTCAGACTGATTCGAGAATGCAGAACGCGCATGAACACAAGAGGCGAGATTTATCACATGAACCAATCACAGCCCAACATAACCAGTCAGATCCAATCATATGTGACCCTTGACCACAATACCAGTCAAAAGGGTCAAATTCTCGAAATTGAGATTTATACATCATCTGAAAGCTGAATAAGTAATTTTTCCATTTATGTATGGTTTGTTAGGATAGCACAATATTTGGCCGAGATACAACTATTTGAAAATCTGGAATCTGAGGGTGCAAAAAAATCTAAATATTGAGAAAATCGCCTTTAAAGTTGTCTAAATGAAGTTCTTAGCAATGCATATTACTAATCAAAAATTAAGTTTTGATATATTTATGGTAATAAATTTACTAAATATCTTCATGGAACATGATCTTTACTTAATATCCTAATGATTTTTGGCATAAAAGAAAAATCGATAATTTTGACCCATACAAAGTTTATTTGGCTATTGCTACAATTATACCCCAGCGACTTAAGACTGATTTTGTGCTCCAGGGTCACATATCGCGATGGAGGCATTGCCTCCTCTCACGTGATTTTCCCCCATTTATTCTCAATTACCTCCCAGTAAACTCACCGCATGCTTTAGGGGGTCTGTTAAAACTCAGTGGGCTCAGGGGAGGCGAGAGGGACGTGGACTCCCGCTGTTACTTTACCTGCTGGTGTCACTGTTGGACAATGTTTCTTTAGAAAAACGAGTGATTTATACACTTTTTAATGTTATATTTTTTAATATTGGCGTTGTTTTATTTTTGTACTACAATTTTTTTTTCTCATCCAATATTTTGAGACACTTTTTATAAAAGTGCTAGATTATTTTGATAAATATTGGACAAATAATTACATAATGATATAGTTCTTAAGTAAATTAATAAGAAAAATAAAATAAAATTCATCCCATCCAGGTAACGGAACTGTCAAAAAAAAAAAAAAAAAAATCAAAGTTCGAATATTCGGCGAATTTAAAATAAAAAATCACATTCTAATGCAAAAACGTTGCATTTGAATTTTAGGTGTGCGTCAGGCTACCTTATCAGTGGCACACAAGATGCGATGACGATGTAAGTGTCGTTGCATTTGAATGTTTTTCTTAGCCTTTCCAGTTGAACCCACTGGATGTGGCGCTGCTACATTGTTCCTTCAAAATATTGCAGAAAAAGAGAACATCAATGCGGAGAAGATATTGTTCATATCCTGACGTGTTCTTTATAATTAAATATAACAATCAAATGTAAAATAATAATATAAGCTGTGTTCTGTTGCAAGTTCACATACTTCATCTCATGTTTTAGTTGTCGTGTTTTAAATAATCAGTTTATTTGTGTCCTTGACACATGGGCATGCCTCTGTTGTCTGGTGTAGGCAGGGTGTTAGTTATACTGAAACAAAAAAATATAAACAGCTTACCAAATTTAATGTGGTTTAACCATTTTTTTTTTTCTTTCTCAAACTCAATTGCACCAAGTCTGCCATAACCTTAGCCATTAACCATAACCTGCTAAGACACCAGTCAAATTGCCTCATCTAGTGTCCCCCATAGGATATGGCCTTAAATCAGTTTCTGCTGTCCAATCTTTTTATGTTAGTTATGTCTAGAGTAAAAAAAAAAAAGGATAATAAATGTTAAAGTCTACATCCACACACACATAATGTGTTTGTTTGTGTGTGTATGTATATATATATATATATTAATTTACATTAAAGTAATTACAATAATTTTAGTTTTGTAGAATATACAAAAGAAACCTAATAGATGTCACTTGCAGTGTATTGCTTAATGCGTGTACATGCAGTTTGTCTGTAACATCGTTGACAAATTCAAAAACATTTAGTTCAATGTGGTTGTTTTTAAACAGCTTTGTTTAACAATTTTCTACTAAAACCATTTTTTTTTTACTTGTACATCCTGAAAGTTCCTGAGCTGTGGTGATTCACTGAGTTCAAGCTCATGATTTATCCAAAACTCAAACACCAAAAGGCAGTGTTTTTTGTAGAACTTTATTTTTGAAATTATTTGATAAAATCATCGCTTTTAATTAATTTATATAATTATAGGTTTATACTTTCACTGACAAACATTTTGGCTAACTCCCATCCCACCCAGCCTCTTCGCCTCATCACATCTCCATTGAAGATAAAACTTGTCTGCCAGAGAGAGAGATCTGACCTCTGCAGATGTGAATTATGCTTCATGGACAGGGGGAAACCAGGAGCGGAACACACACACACACACACACACACACACACACGGATGGAGGAACATGTCAGGGTCAATTCTCTCATCAGTTCATCTCTAGTGAAATCACCACACAAACTGATTAACAGGTTAAGATGAGAACTGATTCGTGTGTGGCTTAGTCACACACGTTATCCATCACCCAGGGTTAAAACACTTTCAAATGGCTCAGTTACCGTGCAGATGAGCAGGATCTGTCTTCACAGCCTGTGGGTGTTTGGCACATTGCACTTTTGATTGGTTAATCATGCTGTCACTTTAGTGTAAAATCCAGTCAAATTATTCTTGGCTGCCGTTTTGTACTGGAAACAACTGCAGAGTTTAAGAACGCAGCAGAGTTTCATCCAACAGAGAGACAAAGGCAAGGAGAGTTAAACGACTGACCGCATCCATTAACACTCGTTTCACTAAATCAAAAACATACTGACGTTACTTCGTAAGAACATGCCATCTTTATGTCTTGTGCTAGTTTCTGTTTCCCTGACAGATTTGTTGGCCCTCTCTTTATGCTGTGAATAGACACTAAGTATCGAGTCTTGCATTGGGTGCAGCCTTCAGGTGAATGGAAAGGTTCCCTATAAGGCAGCAGGGAGAGCAGGTCGAAAGGTTTCTGAAATTAAGTATATGTAACCAGAATGATATACTGACTTAGTTTTGTTGATACAGGCACACAAAATTAACAAACAAAAAAAACAATAGTAGTAGTTGCAGGGAAAAAAAATAAAAATTAATAATTTATATATATATATATAATTAGTGTTATCTTCAAGGAAAAATCAGGCCAATTAGGGTGAATCTCACAAAAAAAACTTGCCAAGTCATATTTTACCCAAAATAAAAAAAATAAAAAAATAAAAATAAAAACACAGCATTTTTTTGCACAAAGAAAAATGATTTTTGCAAGTTCTAATTATCATAACCGTAATGTGAAAACAACATTTATAAAGTACCACTATAAGAATAAACTGTGGCAGCATAAGTTGTAGCGAATTCAGTTTATGCTCATTTTATATATATATATATATATATTCTGGATCATGAAGTAAGTGTTTAAATACTGCATCTCTGTATTTTTGCACTGCAGTAATTAGAATATTGTTTTCTCTATGTAAAATATCATATCTTCTTTGGATTGTGGGGTAAAATATGACCCATAAAATAATTTGTGACATTCACCCAGTTGTAACACTTTAGTTTATCATGGTATGCGTACACACAATCATAAATGTATTGTACAATGAATTAACAAAAAATAATTGTTTCTAATGACAGTCAGTGTAGCAAAATATTAAATTATTCTCCATTTCAATGACTTAACATTTTAACAGGTTACAACATTATAAAGGAAACCTGGACAGAGGAAAACAAATATATACTGACATAATCAGAGTATGTGCATGGAGTTTACCAAGAAGAGTTTCATGGTGATTGCAAAACATGTTAGAGGCCAGGAGCGCCCCCTCCTGGTTTTACTTTCAACAGCAGCATTTTGAACAGCGTAGGCTGACTTCTTATGGGGTTAATCCCACAAGGCATTTCTTGTCAGAGGACTCAATACAGTGACTTAACAGCAACTAGAAGTTCTGATACAAACTCACAACTGAAGCCCCATTCAACTGGGAAAACCACCCCACCATGAGAGCGATAGTCTTACATAGATCTATAGATTCACAATTCAAAATATATACTATTTACTTCCAGTGTAATTTTTTATTTTTTTTTATTTTGTTCAAGTTTGAGAAGTTCCAACTTACTCGATTCAGTTCCAGGGTTAAGTCTCTGCAAAACATTCACAGTTTCTATGTGCTGCATGGTTATTTTTCAAGTTAACAAGCATTGATACTGAATGGAATTCTCCAGTCAAACAGCTTTTTTTCCTTTGATAAAGTAGAGCTACTGAGGGACAGGAAATGCACTGCAAGATCACATGACCAAAACCAAACAACTGCCAACTGAGAAAGGAAGCAGGAAAAGTTAACAAAAAAAAACAAGGGTGGAAAAAGCAGAGATAAAAAGATCAACAGAGGCGTAGTGCACAACTGTAGCGTGGTTGTGTTCCTGGTCTATCGATACACGAGGTGGGATATGGTGCTGGACTTGAAATTGAGTTGATGATTGGGCACAAAGTTATGATGAGGATTTTTGCGGGTGCACACATCACTGCCGTAAAGGCTCATGCACATCTCACATGACACCTTGGAGCAGTTCACACAGGTGTGAGAGGACCCTGGCTTGTTGCAAAAGCCACAGCGGGAGCCGCCCACACTCAGCCGCTCACCCCCACTGCTGATGGAGCTGACCACCGGACTGCTGCCCGAACCCACGGCTTTACTGGGAAACAGCTTGGTGCTCATCACAGCTTTGTCCAGCAACAGCGAGTGGGACTGAGCGTGGGGAAGCGGGTGAGGGTGAGTGTGCGAGTGAGCGTTGGAGTAGACGGACAACTTTTCCTTGATGGGCATGTAGCCATCCAAAGGGCGGGAAGTTTTAGTGTAATCCTGGAAGCCGCAACAAGGCGCCGGTTCCACTGCATGGCAGGACGAACACAAGATCATGTCGCACCTCTGGCAAGAGGAGAGCGAAGGACAGCCCATGCCGCAGCCCTGGCACTTCATCACATGTCCCTTCAGAACCCAACTGTCCCGGGACTCTCGAGGCTCCCGGCTCTGTGGCCTAGAGGGCGTCTGGTGGCCACCCAAACCCCGTTCAGTGTACAAGTCCACCTCATCCAGGGAGGACAAGTGGTAGGAGTATGGCTCAGACGGGGGCGACTGAATTGGGAAGAAGTCAGCCACTGGGCTGTAAGAGGGCAGCGCCGCCACAGGGTAAAGAGAAGGGCTCGGTCGGATGATTTCATCCTTCAAGTCTTCTTCCGTGTCGACGAACAGTGGCTCTTTGCGCAGGCTGAGCGAGGCCTTCAGCACTGGCTTGCTGGCTTGGTGCCAGTGTCCTGCGCTGTCTGTTACATCCACCGACTTGGACGGCCGACCGCTTCGCCTTAGGTGGGCGCGGTCAATATCCACCGGCCGCACCGACAGGCGGGACAAGTCTCCTGTAAGGCTGTCTCGTCGGCGGAGGGCGTCAGCGCACCCTGCCGCATCTTCTCTGGTGTTCCTCCTCACCTCCATGGCCTCCAGCTCTGAGGCAAGACCCCGAGACATGGACACCACCTCACCGAGTAGACGGCATTCAGCCTGGGCGAGAAGCAGTTCAAAGGCGAGCTGCCGGAGGTGGGAGGATCCACCTGGATGGTCCCTAACATGGTACTGCAATTCCTGGTCTCTTGAATAGCCCATGGAACGCAGCAGTGGACGCAAGTCTGCGTCGCATATCACCGACTGCAACTGGTACACATACGGCCCTGTGAAGGTCTGTAAGAGTGAAAGAAAAGTCAATACACCGTCAACAGCAAAGATAATTATGGCGTTCATGCTGTCACGTCTCACTTTTCACATTCACAAACTTAAAAGGTTTTAATAAAAGGCTGAATAATTACTTAATGTAGTTCAGTCTCGCTGATACTTAGGGTTGGGTATCGAGAACCGGTTCCAAATTTCCAATAATCGGGTATTCGATAAGACATGTGCATTTCAATTACGCTTAACGATTCCCGCGTTCGCATTTTCATGTGATTTTAAACTATTTAAGTGCATGAAGGGAAAGAACTTGCACACTGTTTGCGTGCAAGCGCACACATCTGAAGCGCGAACACAGAGAACAGTGGTCCTGATGCAGGTTCCCGACCTGTGTCCGTTCTCGAACTGTACCGTGCATTTCCACAAAGGTTGTTCCGGGCCAGAACTGACTTCTCTTTCACATTTATCGACCAGTATGCACGAAATACGTTGGTATATCATCATAAACACAGCCGTTTTTTTGTCTTAAGTGAACGTAAACAGATGAAAACGCATGTGTAACAGTATTTTTAGAAGCGCGAGCACAGAGAACAGTGGTCCCGATGCAGGTTCCCGACCTGTGTCCGTTCTCGAACTGTTCCGTGCATTTCCACAAAGGTTGTTCCGGACTGACATTTACTTCTCTTTCACATTTATCGACCAGTATGAACAAAATACGTCGGTATATCAACATAAACACTTTTTTTTTTTAAGTGAACGTAAACAGATGAGAAAGAAAACGCATGTGTAACAGTATTTTTATATCTGTGTGTGTTCGGTGTTAAAGAGACAGCCGTCTAATAAACGTGCTGCCTATCATTAATGTTAATCAAAGAACAAAATAAAATCATTAACTGACTGAATATCTTTCGTAAATTTAATGAGGATTAATCAATATTTTATTTATTTATTAAGAAAACTATAGTGTTTTTAAACTTTTGATTTCAATTTCTGTACCTGACATTTGTTCAGTTTTATTTATTTATGCTATTGCTAATTAATTTGTTTACTTGTCTTTAACAATTTAATGTTTG